GCTCACACTCCAGTGTATTTCAAAACACTTCTCTGGAATCATTTCTGAAGCGTACATAACCCCATTATGCATTCCTGCTCCAGTAGTCAAGCAAGTTCTCCACTAGTGGCAAAATCTGCATCTAATTTCAGAAAAATATTTTCTCCCACCCTCTGGACAAAAGTCTCTGATACAATTTGCAGGACTCAGCTCTAATCAGGCATTAAGACTTTATTACTGCAAAACTAGTCCAGCATTAATATATAATACACTGAGTTGCTCTCAATAGAATATTCCACTTGTGCAGTTCCGCTTCTAATGACTGTGTGCCATATGGAACACATCATGCCTTTGTTCCTATTTCCCAAATACTTCCAGAAGTAGTCAATATTAATTTGACTTATCAAATCCTCAATAGGTATAGCAATCAATCCTTACATTAGCCATACCTTTCCAGCATACATAATTCCAAAATAGTTAACAATAAATAGTCTACCTCTTAGAATAATTTAAAATCAATTAGTAGCACCCTTTTAAAGCCATCTGAACATCAAGTCCAAACTGTAGAACTACACTGAGAAGGATTATTAGTGGATGCATGCTAATGGAGACTCTTAGACCAGAACTAAGATTCTGTGGAAATTTAGCTTGGAAGCAAGCTTTTGAAGAAGGGACCGCTTACCAGGCCATCAGGCCTGCAAAGGAGGGCAAGCCAGAAGCTTCCTTCACCCCTTTTGAACTCCTCCTCTTCCTCCTCCTTTCATTTTCTTTTGGGATCCAAGTACAAAAAACATAACGAAAAACTAACTCCACAACAGAAAAGCTAACCCAGAGAATCAAAGTTAAGTAAAAATGTATTTATTTCCATTGAAAAATATTATAAAACAAAACAGAAGTTGATTTACTTACTTGTTAAAAAGGTGATTGTCCACTTTTATCTTTGAATATGCTTTGAAGTCATCTGGCATCAGCATAACAGGGATTTGAACATGGCTCAGTTCATTGATCTACAAAGACAGAAAGGAAATAAAAAGAAATTTGAAATATGAGAAGAAATTAATTTCTTTTGGCCTCAGTTGGAAAACATGAAGACCTCCAGATGTTGACTTTGTAACCACCACGGATACTAGTCATGGCTGACAGAACATACAATTCATAATAACTTTCACCTTAAAACAAGCCAATTACAGAGAATATATTCAAATTATTCCATGGTTGATGTGTTAGAACTATGAACTGTAAAATAGATTTATCTCAGTTTAGAAATAAGATTTTCCAAAATTACTGCAGAAGAAATTCAAACACAAGAAAGTATGGAGTATTAGTATTATTTCCTTTAAAACAAGGAAAAAGCTACTTTTCATGTCTGGATTAACTTTGTTGCATCCATCTATGGCTATTTAACATACTTCCAACTTTTCTTGCTAATAAGTAAAATTTCCTCCACATACACAATGCTTTTTTTCAGCAATTACAGATTACAGATAACATTACTTACTACAGGGAGACAGCATAGAATTTAAAACAATGGAGACAGGCACAGCGAGCCAATCTCCTGACTTGCCTTTGTTCTCAGGCCCTGTTCAAAAGCAGTGCATCTTTCATTTAAGAATATCAAACAGAAATAGAAAAAGAATCAATTGTTTCAAGATTTTGGTGACTGGTTTCAAGGAATCAGCCACTACTGAGCCTTTCTGTGCCAAAAGGAAAAGATGGTTTAGTATCATCTGCTGCTCAGAGAAGCAAATAGCATGAAAACAATAGTTAACTTGTATGATAATGACACAAATCAAAATGAATGGTTTCATCAAAAAGAAGACCCTCACATTTCTGCAAGGAAAAAGCTTAGATAATATGATAAAACAAAATCCATGCTTTTCCTAGTGGAGAGTTATTTTATAAAAGCATATACAGGTGAAACTCGAAAAATTAGAATATCGG